CAGCATCTTCAATGTATGCCCGATCCATCTCCACTGTCTCCAAAATATTTGTTGAGAGAACGGCTCTGGCTTGTTGGTTTTTTCGCATAGTTTTTTGTTGCTTATTCTTTCTGGCCATTTGATCTTTAGTATAGAATCAGAGAAGACAGCAGTTGATTAAAGTCTGCAACAGGTTGTTGGAAATCCTTTTCGTGATGCGTACGCCAAATTTCTGACCCATAAACAAGCACCGGCTGACTTCACATTGGTGTTCAAAATGCGGATATTCTTCCTTATATTGAGTGTGGAAGATTTCCTCACGACACAAACACGACCATTCAGACACAAAAGAAGTCATGTATTGATCAAATCGCCACACTACGGATCATCATTGAACAAAGCTTGGAATGGTGGCAGTCACCTCTCTATTTCAACTTCATCGACTTTGAAAAGCCATTCGACAGCGTCAATCGCGAGGTGATTTGGAAAACAATTCGTGACTACGGGGTCCCACCGACAATTATACATCTCATTCAACAGTTGTACGACAATGCTGGATGCCAAGTAATCCACAACGGGAAACTTACGGAATCCTTCGAAGAAGCAAGGACGGGAGTAAGGCAAGGCTGGCTGGCTGCCTACCATCGCCAATGATTTTCCTGATAGCAGTAGATTGGATAATGCAACAAACAGCGAGCAATGAGGAAACAGGCATAAAATGGACTCACACAAAAAGAGACTTGGAGGATCTGGACTTCGCCGATGATATATGTCTGATTTCCTACAAACTGCAAGTTACGCAAGTGAAAAGCAACAAGTTCACAGAAGAAGAAGCATCAAAGATAGGACTACAGGTGAACATAGAGAAAACAGAGGTAGGTGATGAAGATTCCTGGCCAACACCAACAGTGACAGCAACAACAACAACAGACAACAATCAGCCAGCATAAATGGGAGGAACCTGAAAGAAACAACCTCCTTTACCTACCCACCTACCTGGGAAGCATCGTTTCAACTACAGGCCAGCGGAACTGATGAGGATATCAAAGCAGCGATGAACGGAAAAGCAAGACAAGCTTTCATTACTCTCAAGTCTGTATGGAGGTCAACAGCACTCTGCATGAAAACGAAAATAAGATCCGGATTTTCAACTCCAATGTGAAGTCAGTCAGTGCTACTTACCATACGGATCAGAGACTTGGCCAGCGCTTCATAAAGAGCATCTCAAACAAACTACAGACCTTCATTAACAGTTGTCTTCGCTCAATACCTCACTCAAGATCAGATGGCCGGCCACAAAAGATCAGCAACAAAGATCTCTGGAAATGAACGAGCCAACTCAGCAGGAACCGATTGTGAAACAAATAGGCAGGAAGAAATGGAGATGGATTGGCTGGCCATACTCTGAGGAAACCATCAAGTGACATCACTCGAGTGGAACCCGAAAGGGAAGCGGGCGGCGAGTTGGTCGTCAGTGCAAGAGTGACTTGGAGGAGGTCATGAGGAGAGGAGATGAAAGCATGTGGGCACACTTGGAGCCAGGTGAAAACCCTAGCAGAGAACCGAACGCAATGGAGACGCGCGGCTGAAGTCCTATGTTCCTCTAGGAATTAAAGGATATAATAATAATAAATAGTAATTTGGAGACTTCAAACAATAAGTGACCCGGCTCTAAAAATTACTCCAAAAACAATTCATTCAACGCATCGGTGAAAAGAAACCATGATCTCAATAGTTCTTCATATGTGGTGAGAGCTGCCTGCAAGTTAAAATTGTAGACAACAATAAACGGAAGTGCTCACGTCCTAAATCGGGGCCATGAGAAAAAAAACAAGAACAAAGCCTAGCCGTGAGAAACTCAACAACCAATCACAGGAGACTTAGCGTGGGTAGATACGATTAGCAGATATATATCATCGGACTGTCTAAGAGAAAGCAACAAAGAGATGACAGAATAACCTGCAGCAGGAAAACAACCAATCAGAAGACGTTGCTTCCCTGCTAACAATAACGAATAATAATGCGCATAAAAATCTATAAATATCTGTTGATTTTCTCAATAAAGGACCTTTTGCCTGGCCCTTGTCTTCTGTCGTTACACTTCTTCATTGGAATGGGATGTTCCTACGAACCTATGCGATGAACATATGATCCAATATACCGTCAATAAAATGAAAATTGCGGTACTCAGTCAATCATTAGCTTGATACCAGCGTCAATCCAATCTGGATGCCAGGGCGGTACAAACATGAATTCAGTTCGCCAGACTTCCGCGCCAATGTCTCATAGACCACCCCCTGGTTCTGCCTCGACCGTCCTAGTTATTCATGCAATACCAGTCAATGCTGAAAGAGGGAACCATCATCCTGCTGGGGTTGTGGTTCTTGGCATTTCGTAAAATCTTGTCCGTATAAGCAACACTGTTTTTGCTAGCAACACACACACACAACGGCCGTCACAGAAAAGTTGCCATTCCTAATCAGTACCTGACCGCCGAGAATTTATCAATATTCGGACTCTACATATCCAAGAGAGCGTTACACCTGTTTCCTCACCAAAGAGACCTGTGACGTATGCCTGATTAACGAGCCAAAATCTACCGTCTTGAAAAACAAGATGTTCTCAAGCATGTCACGGCTCTTCACGCACTGATAGAGAGGAGGCCCCGGGTCGCACATGAAACTTTGATACCTAAGCTACATGCAGTGAATTCATCAGACGCCCCAAAATCATTCGACGTCGGAAGACCAGTGTTTGCTAGAGGCTGTACAGTAGAACACAGAAAGTGGATAGAAGGACTGATTTAAAACATGTGGTAATGTCATGTATGATGTCAAAGTTGAGGGAGAGAGAGAGATGTGGACACGATACAAGAACCAACTAAGACGGTGCGCATCCTCCATTAGCTGTTTACGACTGGATAGACTGCTGGACTACAAAATAAGGATCCCGAAAATGCTCCACATCTTCCGAAAAACAACAGACTACTCCCTCAACGTAGGTCAGAAAGGCACAGAAAACAGACGGTGCGGTTCCATCTCGACTCCAAGTTATGTGTCTCCTCTAGAGGTGGAGGTGATATATAGGTGGACAGGTTGTGTGGAAAATGGATCTATCAGTTGTCCCACTAAACAGCTAAGCAGAAAACCTATATATTATCTTTCCTCACGCCTATATATACCATTGTTCGATTAATACATATACTTTTACTTTCAGCGTCACCTCATTGCGTCCTCCCTTAAGTAGCAGGCTGGGTAGTCAGGTAGTTGTTGTATACGTTGTTGGCGTTAACAAGCGCTATTTGTGATCACCACGTCTGTATGAAATAGTAAGACTAGATTCAATTCAACATTCTTCAAAATAAAAAAAGCTCCCCTGAACACCAAAGAATACTGAAAGCTGTTTCATCCTAGTTCCCAGTCCCAGTCCACTTTGAAACTTGAAACATCAACCAAATGCCAACAAATTAACACCTGAAATTAAGTCTGATGCTCGCTAGTGAACTGTTGGACGAAGTTACCTGGATTGACCACCACTAGTGATCCTGCACCAGGTTGGGTGCATGGACACACACTAGCCGATGGATGACATTGGCTCGAACTCATAGACTATAAGATTCCAGCCTTGTGCTTGAATGGTTAACAATCTTCCCTCGTATGCTGAAGGTCCCGGCTTCGATCCCTGATCGGTGGGATAATGATCGCGTACTACTACTGAATAGTCTTAAAGTTCCTAGTCTTCAATAGTCCTATAACTGATATCAATCTGTGATCAAACTTTAAACAAAAGCAAAAAAAATTAAGAATCAATTATATGAGTCACATAAGCCTCGAAAGAAATTACATCTTTACAATATATATATATACTGTATTAGCAAGTGAAAAGTAATTAATTTGGCATTCGTCAAGCGAAAATAAAAGACAAATGTACATATTAATCACATTGTAAATCATTAGGAGAGAGAGAGAGAGAAAAAAAACGAAATCATTTTCAGGTGAATTAGCAACACGGAATCAATCTGGCCGCCATGATAATGATGAAGGGAATCAATGTTTGCTAACATTAGCAACCATTAATAAATGAAAATAAAATAGTCAATAATAAATAAAGATAAATAGATAATATTATGTCTATGAAGTTAACAGAAAATATTTCACTGTTGTCACCGAAAAAAAACAACCCCTCAGCAGAGTCCAGTTTACCCCCGCCCCCCTCGCATCCCAATGAGGAGAAACTCGACAAGTGAATAAATGAATTCTCGCCAAAAAATGAACAAAAAAGTCAAAGTGGTTAATTAAAACAAAAAAGTACACCAAACTATAAGGAAATAATAAGCAGAAGTATAAATAGATCTTCTTAATAGTCATAATCATCATAAATGCAGTCAGAATTCAAGCAGAACACCAAAGCAAAGCGAAAATATCAATAACACCGATGAAGTGAAGTGTAATGAGAAATATGGATATTTCAGTGTGACCGACACCAGGATGCAAAGGTACAAGAAGAGAGAGAGAGGGAGAAGAAGAAGAATTAGACGAAGTGAGCGTAGATTTTGCTTTATTACAATAGATGGAATATAATAATGAAAGCAAAAATGTTTATACAAATAGTGGCGACATATCATCGCCCTCTTTGTCGAAACCGTACTCGACTTTGGACATACTGGGAATGTAAATAATGAAGTGATGAATCAAATGATAAAAGAACCAACAAATAAGCAAATATGCTCAAAAGACAAAATGACAAAAAAGTATTTCTTTTTCATCAGCTGAAAATTAATATTATTATGATTATAAAAGCAGATTGACAATAATAATGATAATAAAGGCATAAACTGTTTTTGAATGACCCGCCATATCGACAAGAACAAAATAATGGCGGCAACTTGTTCAATGTTCAATGAAAGGTTAGTTAAACAGAGAGAGAGAGTGTGTGAGTGAGTGACTGAGTGAGGGATTAAGGTAATTGACAATTAATTCACACGAAAAAAGACGTTATGTATGCATATTACTATGCACATTTTATCGATTGGTTTTAGAGTGTTTGATTAGCCATTGAAGTGTGATATCTACAAAAGCAAAGTGTAAACTATATCAAACATGAAATCACACAAATACACAACAATAAGGATAAAAAAGAATAATCATTATTGCTGCTAGATTATGATGATGATTGGAGGCAATCAACAGCAAGAGTGGACCATCTATCTACGCTTAGTGTTTATTGGCAGTCACCGGTGGTCAGCAATGTGTATATCTCTGCAACCTTGAAGGAACGCGTGTACCATTTGAGATTCACAGCCTATCTATTGAATACTGTCATTTAATGAACATCACGAGCCCTATGTAAGATTCTGAAAAGGCTGGAATTAGGGTGGCATATAAGCCGACGAACCAACAAACTCACTCAGAGATCAACTTTGTCAACCTAAGAACCCGACAGATCCCATTAAGCAAAATAATACAATCTGCTAAATTGTTAGTATCGGATGGTTGGAAGCAATCAACCACAGGAAGCCTTGGCTACACCTAGGTTTCGTGCTAGTAGTTGGGACTCACCCACCAATCAGCAACCTTGAACAAACACTCATATCTCTTTTGAGATTCGAACCCACATCACACCGAACGTTTCATAACGAACATTGAAAGATTATCGAAATCAGTGGTGAATATGTAGCATCACTATCTTTCTTCAAAATAACAGACATTTTTTTGATTAAACAGGAGGTCACTCGCAAGCCCGAACCGCTCATATCTCTGATTGCAGCACTCACTGGATGATGCTGGTTCGAATCTCAGAAGGAACATGAGTTCCTTCAAGGTTGCAGATACGTACTGCTGACTGGTGAGTGATAACTACTAGCACGAAACTTAGATGTAGCTAAGGCTTCCTGCTGGTTGCCCCCAACTATCTAATACCAACAATTCATAGTGCACCGTGATGGTGAGCCACCTAGTGGCATGGTAGCCAAACTGCAAACTTGGCTGATAGAATTCAGTCTGAACCATGGATAGGACTAGACACACACACACACACAATTCACTAGTTACTGACTAATGTCCAAACAAAAATAATCTACCAAATATCATACAATGACTGTGACGTCAATTAAATATGTCAAAATAGTAGATAGAGGTCAAATAGATTATCAGCAACATAGAAATTTAGTCAGAGCTATAACGATTGACCCTGGTATGTTAAATAATTTATAAAAAATATCGTCATATATACGATTAAACAAAAGGGTGGAGAGAGGGAGAGAGAGGTTAGTCAGTGAACCTCTATTCATTGAATCAATACCGAACACATACAATCGAAATAACGTAATGCTAATATCTAATATATCGAAAAGTGTAACAAATAACTGGGGAGAGAAATACATACATATAAGTCAAATTATGAAGCCGTGTAAATAAATCGATATGATTATGAGGAATAAATTGTACCCGAAAACTTATCTCTGTCTGTCTGAATTCAACATAGAACTTGTCACCGAAGTGCACCAGTTCGAGTTGCCACGTTCCAAATAGCACACAAAGGTAGACAAGAAGATGAGTGGAGAGAATCAATAAAGTTTGACAGGTATAAGAGCGAAACAGAATGGGTATGAAAGATTACAGAGACTGAATACATCTGCGCTGGCCATTGACGACGATTTCGATCCATGTCACCTACTGTCTCCAGCCATTGATTCCTAGAGTCCCGAGGGCCCCAACCCGGAAGTCTGCATCTCCCTCCCCACCTGACTCAGTTTAACTGTCAAGGATTTCATGGATTGATGAGGCCATGTTTTTGTTTGACCACCACTTACTCTTTTCCAACCTGAACCTATATCAGCTAGTAATGCCCGTCGGGGGTGGGGAGGCGATGGTTAGGCATGCGCAGCGCGTGACCTAGCCATCTCAATCTATGTAACTTTATAGCCTCGTCGATTGATTTTCCCTCTTTGCCCAACACTACGCCTAACGTCAACATTACTTACCTTGTGAAACCACCCAACGTGAGACAGAGATCGCAGACCTCTATGATCGAAAGCAGTCAACGTTTTCATGTCTTCAACTCGTATTGGCCATGTTTCAGAGCCATAGAGAAGGACGGAGCAAACTGATGAGCAGTACACACGTCCCTTGGTTGATAGCCAGCCGGATGTCACGCCTACGCCAGAGATGGTGTAAGTCAGCGAAAGCAGCTCGAGCTTTTTGGATCCGTGCTGAGATTTCGTCGTCAATCAGTCCGTTGGTGCTGATACAACTTCCCAAATAGGTGAAGTGGTGGTGAACATGTTCTATCACTTCACTCCCTATCACTAAGCTAGGAGTTGACGTGGTCCAGTCCTGTAGCAGCATCTTACATTTTACTGGGGCGAATCGCATGCCAAACATACGAAGATTGATGCTCAAGGTGTTCAGAAGACTCTGCTGGATTTTGTCAACATCCTCCCTTAACAGGACTATGTCATCTGCATATTCTAAGTCCATAAGACTATTCCCTGGCAACAAGTTGATTCCTAAGTCGTTAAGTTCAGTTAAGGATACTTCCATTAGCATATCTATGAAGTTAAACAGGAATGGGGAAAGTGGACATCCCTGCCGGACACTACTGGTTGTTATCAATTCAGATGACAATTCTCCATAAGCCCTTACACGGCTATGAATGTGAGTTTGAATAGAGTGCCTCGATTAGTGCAATGTACTTTCTTGGCACTTCCTTCACAGTCAAACATTGCCATAGTACCTTTCGATCCACGGAGTCGAAGGCCGCCTTCAAGTCAAGAAATATGGCAATTGTTGGACGCCGAAAAGTGTGTTTATGTTCTAGAATCTGTCGGAGAGTGAAGATATGATCTATGCACCCTCTTACCTGGTCTAAAGCCTGCTTGATTTTCCCTTATCAAAACCTTATCATTCTGTTATCAATACTATATCCCTCAATATTATATCCCATCAACTTATTTAATATGGAAGAGTACTACTGCATTTCTTTTTTGTGTGTTTTGTACAATGTCCAGTAATAAAGGGTGATAAATCAACATTTGACTGGAAGATGAAACAGTATGAATTGTACTGAATTGAACTGTCCACATGGAACTTTTCGCAGAAGTACAGCACAGTTCAAGTTGCCAGATTTCATAAAAGGATACATGAATGTGGAGGAGTAAAGACCTCACTGGAAAAAGCGGAAAAACTAACGACAGATTCTCTCAGAAAATTTAATCATATAAGGAATCACTGTGCGTCGGTGGTACAGTGGTTAGGACTCTCGCCGACCATGCACATGGTCCGGGGTTTGATCCCCTGCCGACGAACACCTGATATCAATGATTGGCCTGCAAAATTTGGGCTACCGATATCACATGCTCAAAATTCCATAGTTGTACCAAAAATACGATGTGGAATCAAGCTGTAATCAAAAAAATAAATAAATAAAAACAAAATAATATCGTCAACCATACAGGAATCGATGAAACCAACAGGGACCAACACTCCACATAATAACGGTCTACCCAAAGTCAATTATAAAACGACTCTTCCTCTTCGTCCATTTTCAAATATGTAAAACACCATACGATGGAATGGGAAAGTGGTTAGTTGAGTTATTTGGACCTATGCACAAAGAAACTGTGCGATACAGAATTAGTGATGTCTTCGACTTCACCTCTAAAATATTAGAGACTGATGTTAGTGATAAACTTACGTTAGCCATGGATGGATCATCACTATTTATGAATATACCAATGGTCGAAACGGTAGATTACATATGCCCAGAATTGACCGAATGGCGAATGCATTTAAGAATTCGCGTATCTAGCCTTAAAGAACTGCTAGTTAAATGTACAATAAATGCGTGTTTTGTCTTCAATAATTCCTATTCCTGACAAGTAGATGGAATAGTTATCAGTTCAAGGGAACAATAATAATAATAATAATATCAAAATCATCCACGTAAGCTACTTATCTACTCTATCATATATAAAACATACAAACTGAATATCCTTCTTTCTGTTAGAAAGTGGGTAGACTTCAAAAAAAAGGCAAGGATCCACCAGTAAAATATAATTCTTTCTCCTTGAAACATATAAACTACACAGCTCGGTAGAAACAACTGAATCGCCGCGAAACAACAATGAGGAGCACTAGACATCTGCTTCCACGCGGCGTAGGACTCCTCATCAGTGCACACCCACCATCCTTCCAGAAATCAAACCACCCGGGCCCCTCACATGACGAGACCAAACTCGTCGACTATCCAGCCCACCCACCCCACTTGGACGCCTCGTGATTGAATTCTCAATCTTTAAAGCGAGGATCATGAAAGCAATGCAAGCTTTCATTACTCTCAAGTCTGTGTGGAGGAGATCAACATCACTCCCCATGAATATGAAAATAAGATCCGGAGTTTCGACTCCGATGTGAATTCAGTGCTACTTAACATACGGGTCAGAGACTTGACGCTGTGTGGCGAAGAGCACTTTGAACAAACAACAGACCTTCATCAACAGCTGTCTTCGCTCGATACTTCACTCATGAACAGAAGACCGGCCAGAAAAGATCAGCAATTGTGAGAGAGGTCTGGCAATGAGCCAACCAACGCAGCAGGAACCAGTTGTGCAATAGGTATGCGGGAAGAAATATACGTGTGTTGGCCATACTTTGAGAAAACAAGCGATCAAGAGAAAAACATCACACTCCAAGTCATCTCTCAAGTGGAACCCGAACGAGAAGCGGCGAGTTTGTTGGTTATCAGTGTGAGAGAGGGGTATAACAGAGGCAGTGATGTGAAGAGGAGATGAAAGCATGTGGGAAGACGTGGAGCCAGGTAAAAATGCTGGTGGAGAACCGAAAGCAATGGGGACGTGCGGCGGAAATCCTATGTTCGTCTAGGAGCTAAAGGAGATAATAATAATAATATAATACCAAGAATCCCTAATTGGTGTTAGTTCGTGGCGGAACCTTTCTTGAAATTAATTCAGACATTTAAAATATCCCATAATTCACTGATGGAATAGTCTGTCCGACGATTGGATCATATTTATCATATGGTCAATTCATAGAAATTACACTGAAGTGG